GTTTACCCCTGTGTGAAATGAAATAGGGATGAGGCCGGGCGCAGTGGCTCACGCCTGTAATCCCAGCACTTTGGGAGGCCGAGGTGGGTGGATCACGAGGTCAGGAGTTCGAGACCAGCCTGTCCCAACATGGTGAAACCCTGTCTCCACTAAAGATAAGAAAGAAAAAAAAAATTAGCCAGGCGTGGTGGCACACACCTGTAATCCCAGCTACTCGGGAGGCTGAGGCAGGAGAATCTCTTGAACCCGGAAGGCAGAGGTTGCAGTGAGCTGAGATCCAACCATTGCACTCCAACCTGGGCCACAGGGTGAGACTCCATCTAAAAAAAAGAAGAAAAAAAGAAATAGGGATAAAATTCTTCCCTTTCCCGAATCACAGGGTTTTGGTGAGGATGGAAAGAGGACGGAGTGTCAGCCCCTCCATAACTGTGAAGAGCTGGGCACAACTACGTTTTAAAATTGCAATTGTCAGCTGGGAGCGGTGGCTTATGCCTCTATTCCCAGCACTTTGGGAGGCTGAGGTGAGTGGATCACTTGAGATCAGGAGTTCGAGACCAGCCTGGCCAACATGGTGAAAACTCATCTCTACTAAAAATGCAAAAGTTAGCCGGGTATGGTGGCACACCTATAATCACACACCTATAATCCCAGCTACTTGGGAGGCTGAGGCAGGAGAATTGCTTGAGCCAGGAGGTGGAGCTTGCAGTGAACCAAGATCACACCACTGCACTCCAGCCTAAGCAACAGAGCGAGACTCCATCTCAAAAAAAAGAAAAAAAAAAAGCCCAGGAGCAGTGGCTCACGCCTGTAATCCCAGCACTTTGGGAGGCCAAGGCAGGTGGATCACAAGGTCAGGAGATCGAGACCATCCTGCCCAACATGGTGAAACCCCAGCATGGTGGCGTGTGCCTGTAGTCCCAGCTACTCAGGAGGCTGAGGCAGGAGAATCGCTTGACACCGGGAGGCAGAGGTTGCAGTGAGCCAAGATCGCGCCACTGCTCTCCAGCCTGGGTGACAGAGCAAGATTCCATCTCCAAAAAAAAAAAAAAGGAAAATTATAATTGTTGGTAAAGCCACATTCCTTCATTCATTCAACTAATGTTTTCTGTCTGCCAGCCTTTTGGCTGGACGTGGGAGCTCAGTGGTGGACAGGAGGCAGGTATGTGGTGGCCCCAGGGGAGCTCACTGTCTGGGGAGCAGATACTTAATCACAATCCCCTGTGATGGTTACTATAATGGGGGAATGTGGGATACCAAGGAGACACCTGGGCTTGCCTGGGGAGGTGAGAGGCTCCAGAAAGAAAAGGGGGGTCTAAGGCCGGATGTGGTGGCTCACGTCTGTAATCCCGGCACTTTGAGAGACCGAGGAGGGTGGATCATGATGTCAGGAGTTCGAGACCAGCCTGACCAACATGATGAAATTAGCCAGGTGTAGTGGCGTGCCCTGTCTATGTCGGCCTGCCATGCTCAACCCCTTGCGGGAGGGAGCATGTGGGCGGCAAGTGCAGGATCCGGCTGGCCGCTTTGGGTGTGGGCAAAAGGAGGCTCCATGCAGGCCCCATGGCGGTGCCCAGGTCGGGGTGCCTGCAAACCCTGAAGCCCCAGAGGACACGTTACAGTGCTCTCTTAGCTCTGCTGTCCATGGATGGCAGTGTGTTATCAGCTCGGTAGGCTCCTTGCTTTACCGTGTGGGGTGGCTGTCCTCTGCCAGTGACAGCAGAGGGCCAGCATGACAATCTTTTTTGGGCACCCGCAGTTGGTGAGTCCCGAGCTCTCGTCTAGTGTCCAAGAAGAATGAGGTCACCTGGACACTTGAAGGATAGTGAAGGAGGATAATTTTATTTTATTTTATTTATTTATTTATTTTGAGATGGAGTCTTCCTCTGTCGCCCAGGCTGGAGTGCAGTGGCCGGATCTCGGCTCACTGCAACCTCTGCCTCCCAGGTTCAAGTGATTCTCCTGCCCCAGCCTCCCAAGTAGCTGGGACTACAGGCGCCTTGCCACCACCACGCCCAGCTAATTTTTTGTATTTTTAGTTGAGACCAGGTTTCACCATGTTAGCCAGGATGGTCTCCATCTCCTGACCTTGTGATCTGCCCGCCTCGGCCTCCCAAAGTGCTGGGATTACAGGTGTGAGCCACCGCGCCCAGCAAGAATTTTATTAAGCAGTAGAAATGACTCTCAGCAGAGAGGTGAACTGGAAAGCAGATGGAACGGGCAGGTAATCCTCCCCTGAAGCCTTGCCACTCCGGATGGTTCTTCCCTGTAGTCAAGCCATCTCCCTGAAGTTAAGCCATTTCTCCTCTGAAGTCCAGCCTCTTCACTCTGAAGGAAAGTCGCCTCTCTCCAGTCAAGCCACTTCTCTCTCCCTACCAACTGAGTCTGGGGTCTGGGGGGGTCTTTAAAGGTACAGGATGGGAGGTGGGGTGGGCTCCAGGTAGTTTTGGAAATGGCAATATTTGATTGGTTAAAAGGCACTATTCAGAAAGAACCAATCAGGAGAGAGCAGGCAAATGGATAGAAGTTCTCACTTTGGGATTGAGGATTCAGGCTTTTCAGCTGGAAAGTAGGGTTTTGCCAGGGACCTGCCCCTGTCTGCTTAGTGTTTCTCTGTCTTCTGCCTCTGTCAAAGGCATGCTTCCCAGTTTGTGGGATGGTCACCTTGCAGTCTGTACCCTTTTTTTTTTTTTTTTTTTGAGGCGGAGTCTCGCTCTGTCGCCCAGGCTGGAGTGCAGTGGCCGGATCTCAGCTCACTGCAAGCTCCGCCTCCCGGATTTAGGCCATTCTCCTGCCTCAGCCTCCCGAGTAGCTGGGACTACAGGCGCCCACCACCTCGCCCGGCTAGTTTTTTGTATTTTTTAAGACGGGGTTTCACTGTGTTAGCCAGGATGGTCTCGATCTCCTGACCTCGTGATCCGCCCGTCTCGGCCTCCCAAAGTGCTGGGATTACAGGCTTGAGCCACCGCGCCCGGCCTCTGTACCCTTTTATAAGAAATAAAATCTTCTTTCCTTCTCTAAATGTATACATCTTGATTTTTTTTTTTTTTTTTGGAGATCACATTTCGCTTTTTTTTTTTGAGACAGAGTCTCGCTCTGTAGCCTAGGCTGGAGTGCAGTGGCATGATCTCGGCTCACTGCAACCTCCGCCTCCTGAATTCAAGCTATTCTCCTGCCTCAGTCTCCCTTGTAGCTGGGACTACAGATGCACACCACCACGCCTGGCTAATTTTTGGATTTTTAGTAGAGACAGGGTTTCACCATCTTGGCCAGGCTGGTCTCGAACTCCTGACCTCGTGATCCACCCGCTTCGGCCTCCCAAAGTGCTAGAATTACATGTGTGGGCCACCATGCCTAACCGGAGTTTCGTTCCTGTTGCCCTGGCTGGAATGCAATGGCTCACTGCAACCTCTGCCTCCCCGGTCCAAGCTATTCTCCTGCCTCAGCCTCCCTAGTAGCTGGAACCATAGGCGCACACCATCATGCCGGGCTAATTTTTGGTATTTTTAGTAGAGATGGGGTTTCACCATGTTGTCCAGGCTGGTCTCAAACTCCTGACCTCAGGTGATCAGCCTGCCTTGGTCTCCTAAAGTGCTGGGATTACAGGCGTTCACCACTGCGCCCGGCCTACATCTTGATTTGTTTTTTTTTAAAACGGAATTTCGCTCTTGTTGCCCAGGCTGGAATGCAATGGAGCGATCTCGGCTCACCGCAACCTCCTGCCTCACTTTGGGCCACAGGATTCAGGCTTTTCAGCTGGAATGTAGGGTTTTGCCAGGGACCCGCCCCTGTCTGCCTAGTATTTCTTGGGGATTCAAGCGATTCTCCTGCCTCAGCCTCCCAAGTAGCTGGGATTACAGGCGTGTGCCACCACACCTGGCTAATTTTGTATTTTTAGTAGAGATAGAGTTTCTCCATCTTGGTCAGGCTGGCTCAAGTCACCGAGGTCAGGGCAGAAGAGAGGAGGAGAGGTCAGAGGGGAGGAGTAAAGGGAGGAAACCCAAGGGAAACAGAGTGGAAGAAATAGGAACGGGGGTGGGGGGATACGAATAAAGAGAACGGAGATGAAGAGGCACAAATAGGGGTGAGGCAGCAGGCACAGCGTAGGGGGAGGAGAAAGCAAGAGAGGCCCATTTTAGAGATCTATTGCACGGATTGGTGACCACAGTCACTTAGTGACTTTGGGAGACTAAGGCAGGCAGATTGCCTGAGATCAGGAGTTCAAGACCACCCTGGGCAACATGTCGAAACCTCACTTCTCCTAAAGTACAAAAAATTAGTGGGGCATGGTGGTGGGCACCTGTAGTCCCAGCTACTCGGGAGGCTGAATGAAGCAGGAGAATCGCTTGAGCCCGGGAGGTGGAGGATGCAGTGAGCCGAGATCACACCCTGCACTCCAGCCTGGGTGACAGAGCAAGACTCTGTCTACAAAAAAAAAAAAAAAAAGGATTGCATAATTGCTAAAAGAGTACATTTGAAATGTTCTCACCACAAAAAAAAAGTAGGTGAGGTGATGGACATGTAAATTAACTTGATTTCATCATTCCACAATTTCATCACCTTGCAGATTGTAAATACATATTTAACAATTAAAAATTTTGAAAAGCATTGGTAAGATGTCAAATAATATGTAATTATTGTGTGTACCTGCAATCATCTAAGAGCACATGAGTTCCAGTTTTAATAATAATTTTAGTAAAGGAAAAAAAGGCCGGCCTAAGCGGTGGCGGCAGCAGGCGCAGGGGGGCAGCAGCGAGCACTGCCCAGCAGGACACCCTGCACCCGCCCCGCACCCGGCTCTGGCCGTGCCAAGGCCACACCCCCACCCATCTAGCTCCGCCCCACTGCCATCTGTCCCCGCCCCTGCCCCACTAGCCCCGCCCCCTCCAACTCCGCTCAACTTCCGCCAACCCGCCTCCGCTCTCTAGCCCCGCCCCACTGCCATCCCGCTCCGCCCCCGCCCCTAGCTCCGCCCCGCAGCCTCCGCACCCCGCCTACTCCGTCCCGCGGCCTCCGCGCCCCGCCCTGCACGCTCGGACTGGCTCGGCGGCTGCTGCGGGCTGGCGGGCGGGCGGGTACGCGGAGGGCCGGTGGCCCGCAGCAGGTGGGCGGGGTGCGGTTAGCTGCGGCGGCTGGGCCTGGGGCTGCCGGCTGCGCTCGGCCCGTGCGCGGCGGCCCTGCAGGCGCACCATGGACTTCAACATGAAGAAGCTGGCGTCGGACGCGGGCATCTTCTTCACCCGGGCCGTGCAGGTGAGGCCTGGCGTCGCGCCGTGCGCCGGGGGCCCGGATGTGCGGCGGGCGGGGAGCACCCTGCGGCAGACGCCTGGGGACGCGGGGAAGCCCTCCCGGGCTGCTGCCCCTGTCCCCGCCGCGGGCACACCTCTGCCCCACTGAGCCCTTGCTGACCAGAAGAGGGAAAAAGCCCGGGCGGCCCGGCCCTACTGCCTGGAGTGAGGCACCGGTGCCCACCCTTTGAGCCGGTTGGGTTATCCTGCTCCCCTGGCGCCTGCCCGGCTGAGGAGAGGAGGAGGCACCGGCTGGGTCCTACCTCCCTGCCCTTGTCCAGCAGTGACTGGCGCCTGGCGGGGCATTTAGCGACCTAGGTCCCAGACCCAGGGACTCATGCGTCCGCCACAGCCCCTTCTCCGGGCCTCAGTCTCGCCACCTATGCAATGGGCGGCTGGTGTCATGAATCCCTCATGGCCATTTCACACGCTTGGATAGTCAGGCCGGAAGCCAGGAGCTGTTTCCTTTCTGCTCCACAGGAGGTCTGTTTCCGTCGTCCCTAGGCCTGGGGGATGGGGAGAGGGCTGGGATCTGCCTGGGAAGCTGTTCAGGCCCACAATACTGAGATTGGAACAAGTCCTATCCGTTTAGGGGCAGAGAGAAACAGGCAGCTCAACATCATGGGAAGACCTAGGCTCAGGTGTGGGTGGGACAGTGCCCTCCTGTGACCTTGGGGGAGGTGCCTTCACCTCACTGGGCCTCAGTTTCTCAGTCTGAAAAATGGGATCAGTATTCCCGCCTCCCAGGGCAGATGCGAGGATTCTGTGGAACTCTGCATATGTGTGCTCACCAGAGGCAAGCTCATTATTGGTGTCACCGTGGTTAATATTGCACCCATTCAGCATGTGCCCTTGGACAAGTCACTTCTCTCTGCCCCGCCCTCCCCTTCTGTAAATCAGGTGTAACACCGTGGCTATGGGATTCAGTGGGATGCCGCAGGCCTGGGGCTGGCCCGTTTCAGGGCTCTGGGAGCAGATCCTGTAGTATTGTCTTTGTCGTTGTCATCCTTGTTGTTTCTGTTGAGTACAGTTGTCTCCCCACCCCCAACCCTGGCACTCCCCTCCCCTCCCCAGGAGCCCAGACACAGCCAGCAACCCATGTAGTCATGTTTACTAGAAAGTGCTGTGTCCCGTTGAGGATTAGCATCCCAGCGAGAATTCACTGCTTAAAGTGTTCCCAGTCTGGTGGGCAGCCCCAGCCCTAGTGGAGATGCCAGGATCCCAGAGCCCCTCGGATTGGATGGCCCCAGTCCATCTGGGAGGGGGGAACCCACTTTGCTGTTGGTATGGCAACCACACTATCTCCCACATCTGGGAAGAACCTGATCTGCCAGTTCCCTGCTAGGGCTGGGGCCCTGCTGCCTGACCTGGCCAGGGCTCTCAGGGCCTAGGCAGAGCAGGGCCTAGGTGTGGTTCTGCTTGGTGGGGGCCGCCCCACAGGGTCACTGTTACTGGAGTGGGAGCCAACAGTCAGGCCCCAGCCTCGGGGTGGGAGGGAGGGAGCTGGGAGCTTTATAAATAGAGGCTTTCTCTGCTCTGCACGCCCACCCCACTGCTGCCATTTTCCCGGGAGCAGCCTCGGACTCCAGCACCAAACCCCTTCCCCTTGGCAGGATTGGGGCAGAGTGGCAGGCCAGGGGACAGAGAGGCCTGAAATGTGACCTGGCAGGAGAAGCCGTAGAGGGGCTCTGCCTGAGACCAAGCTGGCCTGGATGGGAGACAGCCAGGAGGGATGGGAGAGGGGTTCTCTATGATCAGTACATGTGATGGGCTCGGGAACCTCCCAGTCCCTGCAGGTACGAGAAACAACTTTAAGAGCCTCCCCGATCCAGCAAGGAACAAGGCCTTGGCCCTGAGATGAGGATCCAGAGGGCAGGATCCCTTGTGTATGGGTCATTCTGGGATGGTTTCCTGCACGGAGGGCCCCTGAACTGTGCCCAGAAAGTAGGGAGGGGCTTGTGACGTTGGTCCAAGTGGCAGGAGCAGCCCAGATAAGGGCACTGAGGCAAGAAAACCTAAGGCAGATTTGGCCAGTGGGGGTGGGAGAGGGCAGGAGGAGTGATAGTACTAATACTATTAGTAGTCATTGCAGTAATAGTAATAGTAGTGGTAGAAGTAATGCTTATAAAAGCCAGAGAGGTGGTGGCATCGTCATCATGGAGCCAGGCAGGCTGCAGTGGACGTGGGATGGATGCCCTCTAGCTTGGGAAAGCCTGGTAGAACTTCTCACCTGGGCAGATGTGGCCTGTAAGGGAGGGCAGGGTGGGGAGTGCTGTTCTCAACCTTGGTAAGGAGGGGAGGTGTTGAGGTGCACATTTAGGGTGATGCCCTTGATACCATCAGGGTAGCTCCTGAGAGCTGAGGAGGGATGTGAGGGAGACGTGCCCGCCTGCCTGCCTGCCTTCCTCCCTCCCTTCCTCCTTTCTTCTTTCCTTCCTTTTTTTTTTTTTTTTTTTTTTTTGAGACTGGGTCTTACTCTTGTCACCCAGGCTGGAGTGCAGTGGCACAATTTCAGCTCACTGCAACCTCTGCCTTTTGAGTTCAAGTGATTCTCCTGCCTCAGCCTCCCGAGTAACTGGGATTATAGGCACCTGCCACCACTCCTGGATAATTTTTTTTTTTTTTTGTACTTAGTAGAGATGGGGTTTCACCATGTTGGCCAGGCTGGTCTCAAACTCCTGGGCTCAAGTGATCCTCCTGCCTCGGCCTCCCAAAGTGCTGATATTGCAGGCGTGAGCCACTATGCCTGGCCCTTTTTTTTTTTTTTTTTGAGATGGAGTCACTCTGTCACGCAGGCTGGCGCAGTCTCAGCTCACTGCAACCTCCACCTCCCCGGTTCAAGCAATTCCCCTGCCTCAGCCTCCCAAGTAGCTGGGATTATAGGCATGCACTACCACGTCATGCTAATTTTTGTATTTTTAGTAGAGATGGGGTTTTACCATTTTAGCCAGGCTGGTTTTGAACTCCTGACCTCAAGTGATTCACCTGCCTTGGCCTCCCAAAGTGCTGGGATTACAGGTGTGAGCCACCATGCCTGACTTTCTTTTTTTTTGGAGACGGAGTCTCGCTCTTTCACCCAGGCTGGAGTGTAGTGGTGCGATCTCGGCTCACTGCAAGCTCCACCTCCCGGGTTCACGCTATTCTCTTGCCTCAGCCTCCCAAGTAGCTGGGACTATAGGCACCTGCCACCACGCCCGGCTAATTTTTTGTATGTTTAGTAGAGATGGGGTTTCACCGTGTTAGCCAGGATAGTCTCGAACTCCTGACCTCGTGATCCGCCTGCCTTGGCCTCACAAAGTCTTTCTTTTTTTTAAGGCAGGTTCTTGTTCTCTCACCCAGGCTGGAGTGCAGTGACATGATCTTGGCTCATTGCAACCTCTGCCTCCTGGGCTCCCACCCCAGCCCCTTGAGTAGCTGGGACTACAGGTGTGTGCCACCACGCCCAGCTAATTTTTTTTTTTTTGAGACTGAGTCGAGCTCTGTCGCCCAGGCTGGAGTGCGGTGGTGCCATCTCGGCTCACTGCAAGCTCCATCTTCCAGGTTCATGCCATTCTCTTGCTTCAGCCTCCCGAGTTACTGGGACTACACGCGCCCACCACTATGCCCGGCTAATTTTTTGTATTTTTAGTAGAGGAGGGGTTTCGCCTTGCTAGTCAGGATGGTCTCGATCTCCTGACCTCATGATCCGCCCGCCTCAGCCTCCCAAAGTGCTGGAATTACAGGCATGAGCCATTGCACTGGGCCTTTTTTTTCTTTTTTATTCTTTTTTCTTTTTTTTTCTGTAGAAATGAGGTCTCACTATGTTGCCCAGGCAGGTCTTGAACTCCTCGGTTCAATCCATCCGCCCACATCAGCCTTCCAAAGTGCTGCGATTATAGGCATGAGCCAGTGCGCCTAGCCAAGGCTTTTCATTAATGATGGTGATGATAATACTAGCTAACATGTATCAGCTCCATACTGTGGCCAAATAGCCAGTGAGCTAGATCCTGTTATCTGCATTGTCCAGACGGGGGCTCTCAGGCCCAGAAGGGAGACTTTGCCTCTCCCAGCCTTGGTTTCCTCATTTGGGAAATGCCGTGAATGCCACCCCCATCAAAGGACTGAGTGAGGTGATAGAGCCACGATGGGCCGAGGAAGGCTGAGCCTCTGCTCTGGAAGGTCTCAGTTTGGGGAGTGTGAGGAGGAAGAGGAGGCAGAGCCAGCCAGGGTGGGGGAGGAGCAGCCGGCCCCAGGCAGGAGCTGAGGCCTTACCCCTGGCAGCTGGGCCCTCCCAGCCCTGCAGGGAGAAACCCAAGCTCTGCTACATAATTGATGGCTGCTGAGCTCCTGGTGGCCGCCCAGCCCCCCCCACCGCCGCTGCTGGAGCTGATTGCACCCAGGGATGATTCATGGCTGACCCGACTCCTGCATGGCCCTGCTGCTTGCTCAGCCTCAGTGGCGGCATCTGTGAAATGGGAAACAGCCCTTCCTGCAGTAGAGGTTGATGGGGTCGAGAGGAAACCCTTAGGACAGGACACTGTTAGATCAGAGGGGCCAGGACTTGGACCAGTTTCTGGTTGTTCCTAGGTAACTCCTGTGGCTTCTGCCAGCTTTGATGGGGACCCATGCGACATCTGGGCCCTGGCTGTGCCCAGCCACTGGCTCTGATAGGCTGGCAGTGTTTCCATCTACCCTACAAGGTGGCCAAAGCCAGCTGTCTGGTCATCCTCCCTCCCTGCATTCCCCTTCCTTCCCAGACGTCTCTGCACCCATCAGCTCATAGCACCGGTGCCTGTAGCAGCCCCAGCCTTTATGTCTAACCCACATCTTTCCTCTTTCATCCTCATGACCTATGAGGGAGGTGCTATTATTCCCTTTTTTCAGCTCAGGAAACCCATGCTCAGAGAGGCAGAGCCCCTTGCCCAAGGTCACACAGCTTGACAGTGGCAGAACTAAGACGAATCAGGTCCTTCTGAACCCCGACCCTGGTTTCTTCCCCTCCCTCCTCTGGCACCCTTTCCCTAGCAGCTCCCAGCTGCCCATGGAGCCCCCTGATAACCCCAGACCCTGCTCCGTGCCCCATTTGTCCCGAACACTTTCTACCAAGTCCTCTCCTTCTGAGTCAGGCTCTAAGGACCCTAGGGCTGGCCTCCCCAGGGGTCCTCACCCCACTAAGCTGGGGGTCAGATTGTGTATGAATGTGCATTTTGTGGGGATTCATTGGATTTCCAAAGAAGCTGTGATTCCCATACTCTGGTCCAGCCACCTCGTTTCACAAATGGGAAAACAGTGAGGCCCTGCCCAGGTCACACAGTATCACCGTCAGGGCCGGTTCCTTGTCCCTGGGGCCTGCCTAGGTTCCTGCTGGTGGGGGCAGTCCTCCCTTTCCCCTCCACTCCCCCACCTCCTTCTGAGCCCTCCCCACCCCTTGGCCTTCCCTGCTGCATAGTTCACGGAGGAGAAGTTTGGCCAGGCTGAGAAGACTGAGCTTGATGCCCACTTTGAAAACCTTCTGGCCCGGGCAGACAGCACCAAGAACTGGACAGAGAAGATCTTGAGGCAGACAGAGGTGCTGCTGCAGCCCAACCCCAGTGAGTGTGTGCTGGTGGGCCTGGGGAGGAACGCAGTTGTGGGCAGGGATACAGTCGTGGGAGGCCTGGCCCTGCTGTGGCACAGGTGGTGTGGGGCTGCAGCCAGGGTTTCAGCTAGACTCTTAGGCTCAAGGCTGTTGAGGAGGGACAGTTAAAAGAAAATGGGGGACTCTGTGTTGGGCTGCCAGACACTCCAGGGCAGTGGAAATACTGAGTTTTGCACAGAAGACTGAAAATGCCTGGAAGCTAAAACACACGTGGGAGAAGAGGCAGGCAAAACACACACCTGGTTGGTCTCTCTCTTTTTTTTTTTTTGAGATGGAGTTTTGCTCTGTTGCCCAGTCTGGAGTGCAATGGGGCGATCTTGGCTCACTGCAACCACTGCTTCCCGGGTTCAAGCGATTCTCCTGCCTCAGCCTCCTGAGTAGCTGAGATTACAGGCACATGCCACTACACCAAGCTAATTTTTGTATTTTTAGTAGAGAACGGGTTTCACCATGTTGGCCAGGCTGGTCTTGAACTCCTGACCTCAAATGATCCACCCGCCTTGGCCTGCCAAAGTGCTGGGATTACAGACATGAGCCACCATGTCCAGCCCAAACCTGGTCACTGCAGAGGTCAGCAAGGCCCAGAGATGAAGGGACTGCCAGGAGCACACCCAGGCAGGCCCCCAAGGTCAAGCAGAAGTGACCTGCAGGACTTCCGGGGAAAGGAGGGTGGCTCCGGGTCATGCTGTGTGTCTGCCTGTAAATCTGATCTGTGGTTCATTGAGGGGCCAGATAACTTTTGGGTGCCAGGAGCAGAGAATTGTGCAAGCATGTATTATGTTCTGTAATCATATTAATAAGGGAGAAGTGGATGGGCCCTGGCTTCCTCCTCCATATAGTGCTGGGTCAATCACAGCAGTCTCAGGGTTGGGCATGAGCAAGGAAGTCAGCAGGCCGAGTGCACCTGTGGGCAGGGCCAGGTCTGGGTCTGTTTGTGTTTCATCTTTGGGCTTGAACTGAGGATCCCTGTGGCTTTGGCTGCTGTCTCCCCACAGGTGCCCGAGTGGAGGAGTTCCTGTATGAGAAGCTGGACAGGAAGGTCCCCTCAAGGGTCACCAACGGGGAGCTGCTGGCTCAGTACATGGCAGACGCGGCCAGTGAGCTGGGGCCGACCACCCCCTATGGTGAGCAGGCCTCACAGCCAGGGACTAGGGGTCATGGTCTCTAGCTCTGATTCTCCCTCCCTCCCTTCCTTTCTTTTTTTACTTTAAAAAAATAATTATACACATAATACCTGAATTCATTCTAAATGTAAAAACTTTATGCAGAGAAAAAAGAGTAAAAAATGGAATCTTCTCTTCATCAGTTTTGGTTTGTGTGTGTGTGTGTGTGTGTGTGTGTGTGTTTGAGACACAGTTTCACTCCATCACCTAGGCTAGAGTGCAGTGGTGCGATCTCAGCTCACCGCAACCCCTGCCTCCCAGATTCAAGTGATTCTCCTTCCTCAACCTCCTGAGTAGCTGGGACTACAGGCATCCACCACCACACCCAGTTAATTTTTGTGTTTTTAGCAGAGGCAGGGTTTCACCATGTTGGCCAGGCTGTTCCCGAACTCCTGACTTCAAGTGATCCGCCTGCCTCAGCCTCCCAAAGTGTGAGCCACCGCACCTGGCCTATTTGTGTGTATTTTTTAATGGAATCATATTGTGTGCCATCTGGGAACCTGACTTTTGTTGTTGTTGTTGGAGATGGAGTTTCACTCTGTTGTCCAGGCTGGAGTGCAGTGGCGTAATCTCGGCTCACTGCAACCTCCGCCTCCCCGGTTGAAGAAATTCTCCTGCCTCAGCCTCCCAAGTAGCTGGGATTACAGGTGCCCACCAGCACATCTGGCTTTTTTGTATTTTTAGTAGAGACGGTGTTTTACCATGTTGGCCAGGCTCGTTTCCAACTCCTGACCTCAAGTGATCCGCCCACCTTGGCCTCCCAAAGTGCTGGGATTACAGGCGTGAGCCACCGCACCTGGCCGGAACCTGACTTTTTAACTTGTTATCATATTACAGGTATCTTTTCACTGAAGCATTTATAGAACCACATCCATCTTTGTTTTCCATTTTGAAATTTTATCCAAGTATAAGCTATACATTATAAAATGCTTGTAAGTGTATAATTCAGTGATTTGTAGTAAATTTACAGAGTTGTACAAACATCTCCACGATCTAACTTTTTTTTTTTTTTTTTTTCATTGAGGCAGAGTCTCACTCTCTCACCCAGGCTGGAGTGCAGTGGCGCAATCTCGGCTCACTACAACCTCTGCCTTCTGGACTGAAGGCATCCTTCCACCTCAGCCTCCTGATTAGCTGGGATTACAGGTGTCTACCACCATGTCCTTCTAATTTTTGTATTTTTCTGTAGAGATGGGGATCTCGCTATGTTGCCCAGGCTGATCTCAAACTCCTAAACTGAAGTGACTTCCCACCTTGGCCTCCCAAAGTGCTGGGATTACAGGAGTGCGCCACCATGCCCAGCCCACAGTCTAATTTAAAGGACATTTCCATCACACCCCAAAAGTCCTTCATGTCTATTTTCAAGCCCCATTTTCACCTCCAGCCAGCCAACCACTAACACGTTCTTGGTCCCTATAATTTTTTTTTTTTTTTTTTTTGAGACAGAGTCTCGCTCTGTCGCCCAGGCTGGAGCGCAGTGGCACAATCTCGGCTCACTGCAACCTACGCCTCCCATGTTCATGCCATTCTCCTGCCTCAGCCTCCCAAGTAGCTGGGACTGAGCGCAGTGGCACAATCTCGGCTCACTGCAACCTACGCCTCCCATGTTCATGCCATTTCTCCCCTGCCTCGCCTCCCAAGTAGCTGGGACTACAGGCGCCAGACACTACGCCGGCATTTTTTTTTTTTTTTTTTTGTATTTTTAGTGGAGACGGGGTTTCACCGTTTTAGCCAGGATAGTCGATCTCCTGACCTCGTGATCTGCCTGCCTCGGCCTCCCAAAGTGCTGGGATTACAGGCGTGAGCCACCATGCCCAGCCCCATATTTTGTATTGTTTTAATCCTTTTAAATTTATTCAGACTTGTTTCATGACCTAGTATATGGTGTATCTGAGGACTGTCCTAAGTTGACTCGAGAAGATGATAAATTATGCTGTTGAGGAGGCAGTGCTGTATAGATGTCAGCGAGGCCAGATCAGTCAATAGTGTTCAAGGCTTGTATGTCCTTGCTGATTTTGTCTTGTTGTCCTATTCATTATCAAGAGTAGACGATTGAGGCTGGGCATGGTGGCTCACGCCTGGAATCCCAGCACTTTGGGAGGTCAAGGTGGTTGGATCACCTGAGGTCAGGAGTTTAAGACCAGCCTGGCTAACATGGTGAAATCCCGTCTCTACTAAAAATACAAAAAATTAGCTGGGCATGCTGGTGCGCGCCTGTAGTCCCAGCTACTCGGGAGGCTGAGGCAGGAGAATCGTTTGAACCTGGGAGGCGCAGGTCGCAGTGAGCTGAGAGCGCGCCACCGCACTCCAGCCTGAGAGACAGAGCGAGACTCCATCTCAAAACAAAAAAAGCAGAGTATTGAAGTTTCCAACTATTACTGTTGAATTGTCTATTTCTCTCTTTGTCAGTATTTGCCTTATGTATTTTGGAACTGTCTTTGGTCTGTATGTTTATATTTGTGCATCTTCCTGATGAACTGACTCTTTTATCATTATAAAGTACTACTCTTTGTCTCTAGTACAATTTTGTCTTAAAGTCTATTTTGTCTGGTAGTAGTATAGCCACGTTAGCTCTCTCGTGGTTACTGCATACCTGTTATACATTTTTCAGCCCATTCATGTCTTTAAATTTAAAGTGTATCTTTGGATTTTTTTTTTTTTTTTTTCTGTTACCCAGGCTGGAGTGCAGTGGTGCGATCTTGGCTCACTGTGACTTCCACCTCCCGGTTTCAAGCGATTCTCCTGCCTCAGCCTCCTGAGTAGCTGGGATTACAGCTGCTCGCCACCATGCCTGGCTAATTTTTGAGTTTTCAGTAGAGACAGGGTTTCACCAAGTTGGTCAGGCTGATCTTGAACTCCTGACCTCATGATCTGCCCGCCTCGGCCTCCCAAAGTGCTGGAATTACAGGTGTAAGCCACCGCGCCCGGTCGTATCTTTTTTTTTTTTTTTTTTTTAAGACGGAGTCTTGCTCTTGTTGCCCAGGCTGGAGTGCAGTGGTGTGACCTTGGCTCATTGCAACCTCTGCCTCCCAGGTTCAAGTAATTCTCCTGCCTCAGTTTCCCAAGTAGCTGGAATTACAGATGCACACTACACCCAGCTAATTTTTGTATTTTTAGTAGAGATGAGGTTTCACCATGTTGTCCAGGCTGGTCTCGAACTCCTGACCTCAAGTGACACACCCACTTCAGCCTCCTGAAGTGCTAGGATTACAGGTGTAAGCCACTGCGCCCGGCCTTGCCTTCACTTTTGAAGGATTGTTTTGCTATATATAGAATTCCTGGATGAACAGTTTTTTCTTTACTTTGAATAAATGGTAATTTATCATCATAAATTCATCATAAACAGTAATATATCATCTTACTGCTGTCTGGCCTCTGTTGTTTCTAATGAGAAGACAATTTATCTTATTGTAGCTCTCTTGTATGTGATGAATCAAACCATGTTTTTTCTTTTCCTTTTAAGACAGGATCTTGCTGTGTCACCCAGACTGGAGTGCAGTGGTACAATCATAGCTTACTACTATAGCCTCAAACTCCTGGGTTCAAATGATCCTCCCGCCTGGGCCTCCCAAAGTATTGGGATTACAGGCATGAGCCAGCTCTCCCAGCCTCTTATTGTTTCTTCAGATATTTTTTCTGCCTTATTTTCTCCTCTTCTGGGACTCGTGTTACTCAATATGTTGGTTCACTTGACAGTGTCCCATAGGTTCTGAGGCGCTGCTCACTTTTCTTATTTTTTTTAATTTGTTTTTTATAAAGATGAGGTTTTGCCATGTTGCCCAGGCTGGTCTTGCACAGCTGGGCTCAAACAGTCTGCCCACCTTGGTTTTCCAAAGTGCTGGGATCACAGACGTGAGCCGCAGCATCCAGCCCAGCAGGTTTTCTTGATTAAATGCTTTTAAATTTGTTTTTTGCCTTGGTAAATTTCCAGAGTCCAGAAATGGATGTTTTTGACAATTGTGTCCAGTTTTCTTTCAATTTGTTTTATTTTCAAAGAGACATGGTCTCACTATGTTGCCCAGGGTGGTCTCGAACTGCTGAGCTCAAGTGATCCTCCTGTCTCAGCCTCCCAGAGTGCTAGGATGATAGGTGTGAGCCACCACACCTGGCGTGGTGTCCAGTTGTATTGTTACTTTTTTTGGGCGGGGATTTGTTGAGCTCCTTTCTCTGACATTCTGGAAGTCTAACTCCCATCTTTATAATGGCTGCGATGTGTTTCATATTTTGGCTGTCCCACTGTTTATTTGTCAGTCCCCAGTTGACGGTGTGGTGTAGGTTCCTTCGTCTTCTTCTTCCCAGGCAAAGCGTTCTGCACTGAGCGCCCCGGCCCTTGCTCTTCAGCAGGCTCTTGCTGAGCCCTCTCCTGCTGCCTGTAGATCAGAGCAGCCTGAGCCTGACCTTCCTCACCCTTCCACTCTGTTTTCTCAGGGAAGACACTGATCAAGGTGGCAGAAGCCGAAAAGCAACTGGGAGCTGCGGAGAGGGATTTTATCCACACGGCCTCCATCAGCTTCCTCACACCCTTGCGCAACTTCCTGGAGGGGGACTGGAAGACCATCTCGGTGAGGGCCCTGGGACTACTACGCTTCATGGTAACCATGGCGTTCTCTCCTCAGAGCCTTTGAGCACAGGCTGTCTGTTTGTTTTTTTTTTTTTTTTTTTGGAGATGGCGTCTCGCTCTGTCACCCAGGCTGGAGTGCAGTGGCGCAGTCTCGGCTCACTGCAAGCTCCGCCTCCCGGGTTCACACCATTCTCCCACCTGAGCCTCCCGAGTAGCTGGGACTACAGGTGCCCGCCACCACACCCGGCTAATTTTTTGTATTTTTAGTAGAGACGGGGTTTCACCGTGTTAGCCAGGATGGTCTCGATCTCCTGACCTCGTGATCCACCCGCCTCGGCCTCCCAAAGTGCTGGGATTACAGGCGTGAGCCACCGCGCCCGGCCGAGCACAGGCTGTCTTCCAGGAGTGCTGGGGCTGAAAACTCCTGGGGCCTTCCCAAAGAGGGCTCCTTTGGACTGAGTGACCTCCTATCTCTGGGCCTTAGTTTCCCTGTCTTGACTCAAGAGTCCCCAGCACCAATCTTGCCATGCATGGCTCTGGGTCTCCCAGGGCGGCCCAGGGTCTCACTGTCCCCATGCCCTGCCCTGTAGAAGGAGAGGCGGCTCCTCCAAAACCGGCGTCTGGACTTGGATGCCTGCAAAGCGAGGCTGAAGAAGGCCAAGGCTGCAGAAGCCAAAGCCACGGTAGGTGTTGCCACCGGCCTCCTGGCCCCCAGGCTCTGGCTAGAGCCAAGGGGTGGGGGCATGAAGGGACCTGGTGTTTGGCATGACCTCTCTCCCCTCTCCCTGGCTGGAGATGCCTGGCTGGGGGCTGCTGGGCTGAGCCTCTCTGTCCCTGCCCTCAAGGGAGCCTTGGTGGCCCCCGAGCTCTGGTTCCCGGGGAGACATTTACGGTGTGGGTGGATCAGCAGTGCCCCCAGCTGGATGCAGGGTACCCCACAGTCACCCCGCCAGGCAGCTGGAGTCCCCTGCATGCCCTGCCCTCCTAGATGCTCGGCTCTGTCCCCGGCTCTGCCCAGGTATGGCACCTTCTTACTAACTCTACTACTTGCTGCTTGAACATCAGGCCCAGGGTCCCTGTGCTCAGGCGCCCCCACGATGGTGTGGAGAACCTGGGAGCTGGACCGCCCACTTGCTCAGGGCTGTCTGAGGGGCCCTATCAAGCAGCCTCATGAGATTGGATAGGGCCTGGGCCGTCTGGCGCCCCCTTCACTCCCAGCCCACTGAGGCCTGTTCAGCCTGGCTGGGTCAATGGGACGTAGCCTGGGACAATGTGCCCAGGGCGAGGCCAGGATCAGAGGAGCTGGGTCCAAGGGTGAACACCCTCCTGGCACGAGAGGTTGCTCGGGGTGCAGGGCCTAAAGGCTGCCTCACACCTTGCAGAGGGAACTCCCAGGCCCAGGGCCTGCTAGGGAGATGGCTACCTGTGGCTGCCAGGTGATTAGCCGAGGGAGGCCAGGCCCAGCCTGGGGTCACAGCTGTCCATACACCTTGTGTTCCCCTCCCATAGTGTGCCCCAGAACCTGCACTGCCCCTGGCGAAAACTGTGTGCAGGGTCTCAGGTCACTCAAGTGTGTGGGGTCTAGATCAGAGGCAGGGGTATAGCTGTTTCAATCTTGGGTTTGGCTAGGGTGACCTGTGCCTATTGGGATGACCTCTTTTAAGTCACCTGAACAGGATAGTCTCCCCCGTCACTCAGGGCCCGACAATGTCTCTGGAGTAACTCAGCCAGAACACACTCCATCAGCCAGGCCAGGGGAGCCTTTGCTTAGTCACTGCAGTGGTATGACCTCTCCTTCGCCTGGTGGGCGTGGACAACCTTGCATCCTGGGGTTGGGCCAGGCTACCCTTTCCAGAGCTAGGACTTGGGCAGCCCGGGGAACAGCATTCCAGAGGACTCAAGCCCCACAGCTCTGTGCCCATAGCACACACACGTTAGGACTCTTCAGGAGGGCAGGCTGTGGTGCCTCCCTCCGCCTGACCGCCTGGTGTCCCCTCCCACTAGGGCCTGGGGGGCCTGCTCCTGCCTGCGCTGTGGACTCACTAACTCTTTGTTTTTGTTCCTTTCCGTCCTGCTTTGGGTAACTTGGCTCAGTGTGAGGGAGATGTGAGTATACCTGTCCCATGCGCTGTGCTGCTTCCGGTCTGCCCATCTTGCCCGTGGACCCACGGTGCCGTGGCCAGCCCACGTCCTTGGGGCATTTTGCAAGCAGCTGGTCTCCCCGCCAGAGCCTCTACTGTGCAGGGCCTCTGGTTTAGGGGGGATGCCAGGCGTTGGGGCCTGTGAGTCAGCTTTTTGCAAATGTTGGACGTCTGTCACTCTGTCTGCCCATGCATCCATCTGTCCACCCTTGTCGGGAAGGGCCTGGCCCTTGATGCAGGAGTGAGAGATGCAGTGTGCAGATTCTGGGATGGAAAAAGCCATCCCAGGTGGGGGTGGGCTGTGTTTGTGGGACCCTGGGGCATCTGAGCCACTGGTCTTGGGAGGAGGGGGCTGTGGCCCCTGGGAGGGGAGAGCCCAGCCTGTGACTTGCTCAGGCAGCCTCGGCTGTCTCCTCACCGCATTTGCTCTCCTGGGCTCCAGTGCCTACAGCCACTTGATCTTTGTCTGGACTCTCCAAGTCCCTAGGCCCCTCATCTCCAGGTGGTTGGAGTCGGGAGAAGAGGGTTTGTGTTGTGTTTGTATCCCCCTGTCCTTGGCGTCAGGCCTCCTGGCATCTCCTTGTGCAAGACTCTGGGGTAGCCTCCTGACCTCGACCCTGGCCCTGGCCCAGGGTGACCCCCTCCCCACATGAACTCTGTTCCCCGCCAGACGGTGCCTGACTTTCAGGAGACTAGACCTCGTAATTACATTCTCTCGGCCAGCGCCTCCGCGGTAAGCGCACCCCACCCCCACCCCACCCCTCGTCCTCTCTCCCCAAGTCCCATGCCACTGCCTCTGACTGCACAGGAGCTAGAGGCCAGTGGGTAAGGTGGGGGCACTGCCATGTGATCAGGTCAGTCCTGAGACACTGGGGAGGGGCAGCAGCCCCCACCTCTGTCCACAGCCTGGCCCCTGTGCCCTGTGGCCATGGAGCTGGACTTGCTTCCCCTCTGCAAAACGCTGGAGCTGGCAGCAGGGCCAGCCGTACCGAGTAGTGTGGAGAACTCAGGGCGGCAGCTGTCCCATCCTCAGGGCCCCTCCACCTCCTGCTGTCTCTGAATGCCAGGCCCTGGGGAGGCCCTGAGGATAGAGGAGGCCTGGCCGTGCCTTTCTGGAGTTCACAGACCCCTAAAGACAGGAGGCAGTGGACTGCCGTGTAGGCCTGGAGAGCACCTGGGGGGTGGGAGGGCCTGAGGCTGTGCTAAGGCCCAGAGGTTCTGGAGCAGGGCATGTCTTGTCCTGAGGAGGCTCAGGCAGGGCCCCTGGGGGAGTCGGGGCAGGAGGTGGGGACGACAGGATCGTGGAGGCTTCACATGTCATGGTTTTTAAGCTTTCTTGGGATGTCTGGTATTTCCTGTGTAGTTTGGGGACTAGGCCACACCTCTCCCTCATGCTTGTCACCACTGCTGCACCTTGTCTGCCCACTTTCTCTCCTTCCCGCCCCCAGGGGTGAGACCCTCACCTCTGTCGTGAGCATGCTGCCTTGTGTCTTCCGTGCCGTTGTTCTGTGGCTGGGTGACTCCCTCAGGCCACCAACCCTAGTTGGCTCTCACAGCAACTGCCAGTGCTCCTGGACGGGGACTTCCTAAGCAGCACGGGGGCCACATGGGTGGGCCACGCACACTGGCCTGGGTCCACGTTCCCTATTTCGGGCTGTTGTCTCGGGTCAGATCTCCGGAAGCGACAGGAGCGCTGGGTCTCCTGGTCGTGGCCGGGCACAGTCTTTCTTCTTCAGGATCCACTTCCCGCCTCCTCCCTGTGCCCAGTGGAAGGAGAAACATCCTAGAGGGTGGAGACTGCCCTGTTTCTCTTTTGCCATTGAGTCCCAGTGTGACTCAGGCATGAGGCTGCGTTTCTCTGCCAGAGGACAGAAAAGTTCAGTGACTGGCCCAGGGTCACATGGTCCTGCCTCCCAGCCCACCAGCCTGAGCCAACAGTCAGGACGGGGTGGGGCACCCGGTCTCTCTTCAGACCCCACTCAGAGTCTGGGGCTGACACTGTAGGAGAAATAGAAGCAGGACTCCCGCTGGCTGCTCCCTTCCTGCATGAGGCATGTTAGAGGGACTGGGACTGCCAGCCCCCAGCTCCCAGGCCTGCCTCAGCCCAGTCTCAGCTCCTGTTTGGGAGGGTGGGGCAGAGGGGCAGGGGGCAGAAGTTGAGTCTGGGAGCTGGGGCAGGGCACAGGCTCTAGGGTCCAGCTGTCCTCCTCTCCCCTCTCCTGCTGGCCACTCCTGCTGCCGTCTCCACAGCTCTGGAATGATGAGGTGGACAAGGTAAGTTGGGGCCTGGGGGGCTGGGCTCGGGGAAGAAGGGGTGGCAGGGTACAGGCACACCTGCTGCTATGGGGTCTGGTCTGTTTCTCACTCTGCCCAACACCCACTGGGGAGGGGTTACTGCTTTCCCTCCCTGGGCCTCAGTTTCCCTTCTGTGGGGAAATGTTTTCTCCACAGTACCCTGTAGCACACAGTAGGCCCTCAGGATGCACTTGCTGGGTGGATTTCTCCAATGGGTGATGGAGGGAGGGTCTGTCACTACAGCTGCCTGTGGGGGTCCTGAGTGGGGCTCTAGCTTCTCTGGGGTTGGGGCTCCATGTGTGAAGTCAGGCATAGACCTAGAAGGCTCTCTGTGTTCCCAAGGGAAAAGGGACAGGCAGCTTCCAGGTAGGTTCCAGGGGAAGACTTCGAGGAAGCCGGTGGGTGGTGTGTGGGTGCTCACGGCTGCCCTGCCCTGCCCTGCCCAGGCCGAGCAGGAGCTCCGCGTGGCCCAGACAGAGTTTGACCGGCAAGCAGAAGTGACTCGTCTCTTGCTGGAGGGAATCAGCAGCACTCATGTGAGTCCCCCGCCCACCTTCACTAAAGCGCAACCCTCAGCGTGCACCTGGTGTGCCTGAACCACGGGGTCAGCAGGGCTGCCCCAGAATGGCCCTCACAGAGCAAGTCCCACCGGGGAGGGTGTAGGCATAGGGGCAGGGCACCCAGGAATGCTGAAGCAAGGTCTGGTAGAGGACAGGGATGGGGATGGAATTTTTTGTTCTGAGGGCGGGACGTTAGAAGTCAGCCTCTGGCCTCTTCCCCACAGGTGAATCACCTGCGCTGCCTCCATGAGTTCGTCAAGTCTCAGACAACCTACTACGCACAGTGCTACCGCCACATGCTGGACTTGCAGAAGCAGCTGGGCAGGTACGGGGCCAGCACTGCTGAGCCCACTGGGGTCCCCTGGCTCCCAGACCCCATCCGTGGGCAGCATGAGCTCCTCTGGGCAAGTCCTATGACACTGAGCTGGGTTGGAGGGCTCTGCCGGAACCCACTCTGGGCCCTGGCACCTCACATGTATGAGGGTAGAGTGGCTGGCCTTACTGAACTGAGTCCCCTGGGTACCCTGAGGGTTTCTAGGGAATGCCTGGGTGGGGAGGATGGCAGGGACCAGGGGGTAGGGCCATCTCACCCTTCCCTTGCTTTGCTTCTCCCTTTGTGCTGCCAGCTCCCAGGGTGCCATGTGAGTAGCTGGGACTGGAGTGGGGCTCCGGGGACTGGGGAGGGGAGTTTGCTTCTGGGGTCCCTTCTGGGACTCCCACCTGCTAAGATGTATCCCTCTCCAGATTTCCAGGCACCTTCGTGGGCACCACAGAGCCTGCCTCCCCACCCTTGAGCAGCACCTCACCCACCACCGCTGCGGCCACTATGCCTGTGGTGCCCTCTGTGGCCAGCCTGGCCCCTCCGGGGGAGGCCTCGCTCTGCCTGGAAGAGGTGGCCCCTCCTGCCAGTGGCACCCGCAAAGCTCGGGTGCTCTATGACTACGAGGCGGCCGACAGCAGTGAGCTGGCCCTGCTGGCTGATGAGGTGGGCCTGGTGCCACAAGGTGGGGCAGGAATGGGCGGGGTGAGGAGCAGCCTGGGCGCTGGGATCAGGCACATGGGGCCTGGAGGGGCCCTGATGGGAAAGCGGGCACCAGCAGGTTAGAGAGGGCATCTCCAGCTCTGAGGAGGCAATCCCTGCTCTGCCGGGTCTCTATGGAGCAGGTGAGATGAGCGCCAGCCACTGAAAGTGTAGCACATGCCACGGGCCATGGGGAGGTGGCAGCTCTGTCCCCACTTAGTCCTGGGGCCAGTTCCACCCTTGGCCAGGCCATGACCGTCCTCTACTGCCATCTCTGCAGCTCATCACTGTCTACAGCCTGCCTGGCATGGACCCTGACTGGCTCATTGGCGAGAGAGGCAACAAGAAGGGCAAAGTCCCTGTCACCTACTTGGAACTGCTCAGCTAGGCAGGTCCCCCCACCCCCCACATTCTGGCCTGGGCAGGAGAGGATGGGTGTAGCCCTGCCACTTACCTGGTTTGTTGGTGACACTGCTGTTCAGAGTGGGGAGAATTCACCCATTCTGTCCCTGCTCCTGGTCACCTAGCTGTGAGGGTGCCTGAGGCCGAATGGCCCCGCCCTCCCCCAGCCCTGCTTCTGACCTGTGGCTCTGGAGCCCCTGCCCCTGCCTGCATCCCTGAGCGCCCCACCCTCCCGGCTTCACTAAGGAGGGAGGGGCTGTCTGAAGCAGCTGCACTCAGCACCTAGGCCAGGGTGGGGCCGCAGATGGGCTCAGGAAGCCCCAGGTGCACTCAGTGAGAGCCCTGCCTTTCAGTTGCCAAAAGCTGCATGGGGGAATGCAGCAAGGCACACAGGGCTCTGGCAGCCCCTGGGGACTGGGCGCTGCCCCTGGGAGGGGAGAGCCTGGCCAGGGCTGGTGTTGGGCCCGGAGCAGCATCTTCCGGTGCTATCCTCCCCTCCCACCCCTCACAGCTCAAGCCAAGTCCAGCGGCCGCAGCCTCCACCTCTCCACACTCACTTTTTATCTGGTGTTTTTACTTCTGCCTGCGTTTGCTCTCTAGCCAATAAACCCTCCTTGTGTGCGAGTCACCTGGGCTCCTGTCAGGGCCTGGCCCTGAGGGTGGGAAAGGGAAGGGTAGACTCACCCCCTGCCCCCCTCTTCCTGGGTGGGGTGACCCCCAGAGCGAGCAGGGGCCCTGCGGCTGCCCTGGCCCCCAGCTCTCTAAGTTGGGAAGTGCAGCCCTCCCTACCTTCCGTGGGGCCTGTGCCTGTCAGAGGGCAGTGCTGTTCCTGGACATGAAGCTGCACAAGGAATGTTTTATTCCTAAGAGAAAGTTTCCTAAATTTGGATTGTGGACTGTAGAATGTGCCTGACAGTTCAAACTCAAGAAGTGGGTAGTGGTCCGCGCTGTCTGCATGTTGGGTGTTTTGCCCAGCATGTGCCCCTGTGCCACGGGTTCTCATGCCATCCTGTGTCCACATTCAGATGAGATCAGCAAGACAGTCACTTCCTCAAGGGACCACAACTGGCAAGTGGCTGAGCAGGGACTGAAGCCCAGGCAGCCTGATTCTAGAAAGCCTAAGTGGTGGCTGTGTTTTAGATGGCCCCTAGCAGGACCTGGCATTCTGACTTCAGTCCTGAGAAGGCCAACAGCTAGTAGGCCCCACTGTCGGGGCTTCTGAAGAGGAGATGGGGGGTTGACAGGGGAACCGGGCTATAAATAGGAAGGCACAGAGCTTCAAGAAAGGCTCACCCAGGGATGAGCTCAGCCCACTGGGCCAACGAAAGCAGGGCCAAGGACACAACCAGGGCAGGCCAAGGAAGGGAACAGCGCCCACTCAGCCTAACCCTCAGCCTATGGACAGGAATGAGGAGATGCTGGTGAACTGGCCATCCATCAATACCTGCCTTCCCCCGAGGCTGCAGCCCCACTCCCAGGCGCCTGGCCAGGGGAGTTTTCTAGGTTCTGAGAGCCAGGTTATCATCCCTGGGCTTTGAAGTTAAATATCACACAGCTGTCTATAAACAGGATTTTAATATTTGTATAAATAGACCACAGAATTACCAAAACTGCAGGGACAGAGCATGGAAAACAGATTCTGAAACCCGTGCATAGAGCCCTCTCCTGGGCTCCCGCCTCCCCTGGCTGGCCGTGCTGTGGGGAATGCTGGAAGGGAAGGAATGCTCCTCTGGGGGCGACTGCAGCGTGAGGGCCTAAGCACAGAAGACTCCACTCCCCATGCCTGCTGTTGACCTCTTCATCTAGTATAAAAATAACATCAGTGGGTGGGTGGTTGAAGTGGCTACTCGGGGAGGGGGTGACAGAAGGTGCCCTCCGTTGTATAGGCCCTGGCAGCCAGGGTGCGGTGTAGGCTGGTGGAGAGGGGTAGGTAGGCAGCAGAGCAGCACAGCACTGCCCTATCTTTGCACATGCCGGACAAATGCCTGCACTAGCTGGATCAGAGGCTCTTGACTCTCAGGGCTGGCTTTGGAGAGAGAGGTGGACTTGCCCTGCGGCGAGGGGAGGACACCCGTGGCAGGGGAGCTGGGGGCTCCCCGGCGGAAGTAGCGCGAGAGGCTGGAGAGCAGCGTGCTCTACAAGAAAAAAAGTGGTTTGGTGAGGCTCAGCACATCTGGCCACTCTTCTGACCCTTGGGGGTTACCAGACGGGACCCCACAGGGCTCTGGCCCTATTGGCCCAGCCCTCCCTATCCATCCCTACCAACTCAGAGCTGAGCTCCTGCTTCATCCGCTGTTTGTCCCGGGGATGCACAGCCGGGTCCCTAAGGTACCGCATCGCCTGAGAGATGAGCAGGTAGAAGCAGTTTTCCATGGTAAACATCAGGAGGGACCTGGGAGGAGAGGCAGGTTTTTGGCACTGCTACAGAGGGCCTGGCTGGCCAAACCTGAGAATAGTGGGCCCATGACTTCCCCGGCCCCTTATCAAATCTCAGAAAGAGCGCTTACTTTAACGTCCTGGTCCCTTCTGCCTGTGTGCTGAGCCCCACTGCCTGGGTGAGGGGCTCCTTTTTCTTGTCCAGCTGAAGAGAAGCAAGGGTAAAAAACTAAGACAGGAACAGCTCCCACTTACTGAGAGCTTCCTACTTGCATGCCCTGCACTAAACAAATTTCATGAGTTACCTCATTTAATCCTCACAGTAATTCTCAGAGTGCTGTCATGTTCAGTTTACGGAGTCTCGGGAGGCTAGGTACCATGCCCAAGGTTGGCTGGAAGTGGCGGGCTGGGGGAGGAGCCGGGGGAGAGGACAGTGACAGAACCCACTTACCTCTCCAAGCATGTTGAGGGCCACATTCACTGTGGCCAGAAGGGTCCCAAAGGAGGGGGCCACTTCGGAGTCAAAGGTGGGAGTGGTAAAGCTCAGGGCAAACAGGAAGTTGTATTCAGCAAGGTCCAGGGACTGCAAGAAAAGTCAAGAGCCATCCAGGACCCAGTTAAGGCCCCAGGTAGCTCTCAGTGCACAGCAGAGCAGAGCGTTTAGGGGAGGTGGTGCCGAACAGATGATGGCCGGTACCTGATCCAGCAGGATCTGGCAGACATCTGGGGTGAAGTGGCGCAGGGCTGCCAGCGTCCTGCTGAGGATCTTGAGAAGGCCATACTGGACTGTGTGCAAGGCCCGCTGCTCTGATGCCTCTGTGTCAGCAGGGGGCTGCTTGGAGGAGGAGGGGGCAGCAGAAGCAGCAGACGGTGGCCTCTGGACTCGCTGGGCAACGGCCGAGGGGAGGCCATCCCCATTTTTGTTCTAGGGAGAGTCAAGAAATGAAGGTGGAGCTCGGGAAGCCACAGTGAGGTATTCCAGCCCCTCATGGCATAGGACACTTACCTGTAAGTAATGCTGCAGCATCTTTCGACTGTGCAGGAGGGAGGTGCATGCCTGGCACAGGTAACCCAGGTTGACCTGGGAGAGACGTAGGAGAGATGAGGGATTCTCTTGTCAGCAGCCCAGTCACCCAACAGCCCTCCACGTAACACCCACGCGCTCTTCTCACTCGTTGCTGCTCTTCTCTCCCTCCCTCCCTCATGCTCCCCTGGCCACTTTCCAGCTTTAAAGCCCTTATAGCCACTAAGTACTCAGGGCTACAAACTCAGGGCCAGTAGGGCTCAGGACTGGACTGTTTCACTGGGACCCAGCTAGGTGCCTCGTATATTATAAGGTCCTAAAATAATAGAAGATGAGGCCGGGCGCGGTGGCTCAAGCCTGTAATCCCAGCACTTTGGGAGACCGAGGCAGGCGGATCACAAGGTCAGGAGATTGAGACCAGCCTGGCTAACACAGTGAAACCCTGTCTCTACTAAAAAATACAAAAAAATAGCCGGGCATGGTGGCGGGCACCTGTAGTCCCAGCTACTCGGGAGGCTGAGGCAGGAGAATGGCGTGAACCCGGGAGGCAGAGCTTGCAATGAGCCGAGATCACGCCACTGCACTCCAGCCTGGGCGACAGAGCAATACTCTGTCTCTAAATAAATAAACAAATAAATAAAATGAAGATGAGGATTATGGCTGATTCCATTTTATAAGAAAAGAATAAAAGGCTACAAATAACTGAAGTGACTTGGCCAAGGTCATACAACCAGATGAGAGAAGCCTGCTTGGCTCTGGAGCCTGTGTTCTTTCTTCACCTCTAGCCGGTTCCCAGCTCCAGGTGTGTGTGTGTTTTTGGTTTTGTTCAGTGTTTTTTTTTTCCCTGAGATAGAGTCTTGCTCTGTCACCAGGCTGGAGTGCAGTGGTGTGACCTCGGCTCACTGCAACCTCCGCCTCCCAGGTGCACGCCATTCTCCTGCCTCAGCCTCCCGAGTAGCTGGGACTACAGGCATGTGCCACTACACCCAGCTAATTTTTGTATTTTTAGTAGAGATGGGGTTTCACCCTATCGGCCAGGCTGGTCTTGAGCTCCTGACCTTGTGATACGCCCGCTTTGGACTCCCGAAGTGCTGGGTTACCGGCGTGAGCCACTGCACCCAGCGTTTTTGTTTTTGTTTTTGTTTTTGTTTCCCGAGATGGGAGTCTCGCTCTGTCGCCCATACTGGAGTGTAACGGTTCGATCTTGACTCACTGCAACCACCGCCTCCCAGGTTCAAGCGATTCTCCCACCTCAGCCTCCCAAGTAGCTGGGATTACAGTCACGCACCACCATGCCCAGCTAATTTTTCTATTTTTAGTAGAGATGGGGTTTCACCATGTTGGCCAGGCTGGTCTCGAACTCCTGACTGCCTCCCAAAGTGCTAGGATTACAGGCATGAGCCACCACACCTGGTCCCAGGTGTATTCTTAAAGGATCTGAATCAATATCTAACTGATAAAGTACAAGTTCTTAATCTACATGGCTACCCTTGACTATGAAAGGAAACATTTAGCCAGAGTAAGCACATGACACCAAACCCTGTGTTCTCCAAGGGAAAAGCCCCCATTCAGGAACATCCTGCAATTCACTAGAGGTGCCCCAGTGAGAGCTCACAGCCTCCCCGTCTCCAAGCATTACTCCAGACTCCAGGACACCATCCGGGGCCCCTACCTGGATATCACGCATGAGCTGAGGCAAGTGGAAGTGCCACTCCTTCATGAAGTTGGAGAGCTGCAGAATAAAACCCACGGTGTGGTCCGCCTCCTCCAGGCAGGCCAGACTCTGCACTGTCCTCACCGCGTTGAGGCACTGGGAGGAAAGGAGACATCAGGGAAGGATGGGGATGGCTGAGGGACCTGACATACCCACACCTGCCCTCCTGTGGAGAGGAAACGTCCCGGGCCCCCAAATGCTGAGGTGGCAACTCAAGAAATGGCTCAGTGGTACAACTAGGATTCTGACCCGAGACCGTTCCCGTCCCTCAGCAGACTGGCTGGCCAGTGAGCCAGCAGAGTATTTAGAGCATCTCAGAAATGAAGGCATCGACAACCCTCCACTACTGAGGCCCAGGCTCCACACCCTGCCCCATGAATGGCACAGAACCCTTTTTACCCTGAAACTCCCACCCCTGCGATGCAGGCAGCCCCTCACCTGTAAGGTCCGCTCCTGGTGGACACCTACGAAGTCCAGGGCCTCAGTCAGGAAGTTGTAGCGCAGAGTTTTCAGC